GACTGGAGAGGCCCCCCGGCCCCCGGGTAGCACCGGGGAACTCGCTGTCACTCTCCCTGCTCCTCCATCCCAGAGTCGGACTCCCTTCTCCCTCCCAGCCACCTCAGGTACCCCCCAGGCACGAGCTGCAAACACCAAGCAGGAGATTTCCTTCATCCTGCGCAGGAGGAAAGCGCCGGGTATTTGCGTTTAAAACTGGCAGCGCACAAAATAAAGATGAATGTTGGATTCTGTGCTGATAATTTAGAATTTCCGTTTGTCTTTACTTAACACAACAACCCATCGCAAATTGGGGAAACACATATACTCGCGCGTGCACACACACACACACACACACACACACACACATGCATATGAACACGCGCGCGCGCACACACACACACACACACACACACACACACACACATACCACAGTGACCTCTCAAGCAGGAGAGTGTGAGAAAGGAGGGGAAGGTCAGGCCTATGTACTTTCTGGACCCGGCTTGTCTTGCCTGTCAAGCAAGGAGCACTGAACATTCTGTCTCTCTCTCCAGAATGTTCTATCTGTCTCTCCAGAATGTTCTGTCTTTCTCTTCAGAATGTTCTGTCTAACTCTCGTGAGTGTTCTGTCTATCTCTCATGAATGTTCCACCTTTTCCCTCTGGAACACTCTCTCTGTCTCTCTGGAGAGTTCTGTTATGTCTCCGGAATGTTCCCTCTTTCTGGAACATTCTGTCTCTCCAGAGAGTTCTCTTGTGTCTCTGCTGCCTGAGCACATCCACTCCCAATGTGTGAGACTGGCTGGGGAGACTGCAGTCTGTCTAGGTCCTCAGGGAGGCTACGAACAAATTGCTGGGTGACCAGGAGGGGTGACGGTGCCGTGTGCAGGAACGGGAGGTGGACCGGGGAAGGAGGGAGGGGCGGCCCCTCCGGAAACCAGAGGACTGAGGGAAGCCCAGCGCCAATCGCCTCCTTACTGCTTCCTGGCTCGGGGGACACCAGGGCCTTCTGGTGAGGGAAACCAGGTACCACTGGGGGTTCCCAACTCCTAGAACACACCGGAAAGGACCCTTGGCTTTGCACACCCACCCTCCACTCCTCTCTCCTCGGGAAGCCACGACTCCACAGCCATCCTGCAGAGGTCACAGGTGACCTCGCTGCCCGCCCACTGTCCTGGCTGGCCCCAAACCTCCCTACAGGTGCTCCTAGGCCAGAGGTCAGAGGGCAATTGAGGACATTAGCCCCAAGGCTGCTCAGCCTGTGCGACTGTTCCCCGGGGCGCTTTACTCCGGTCCCTGGCCAGAATGGCCCATGCGTTGTTTGTGGGGTGTCTGAGTTGTCCCGGAAGCCCATGTGCACCCTCTCCAGGGAACTCGGCCCTGACATGGGGGCCGGGGAGGCAGTCCACGAACTGGAAGGCAGACCCTGTGCTACTTACTAGAGAAAGAAATGTCCTGGGCCCTTCGCCTGCCTATCTGTCTGTCTCAAGCACTTAACGAGAGACTCTCCATGCGAAGGGTGGATGCCCGCAGAGAGGCCACGTTGGAAGCCAGTGTGTGTGTGTGTGTGTGGGGGGGGGGGGTCAGTGAGGAGCAACAGGGAAACAGGGACATTTCCCAGACCCTCAGTTCCTAGGACACTCTGGGTCAGCCTCCTTGGTCCGGCCCACTGTGAACCAGCACCCGGGATCCAGAGGAGGCAGGTGGAGGGACCCGAGTGAGAGTGACTGCATGACCCTCAAGGGCTGCTCTCACCAGTGAATGTCCCCAGAGATTCTCTCCAGAATCTGGCTCAGGCGGGTGTCAGACAGGGAGGCACCCGGGGGTGCTGGGCACCCCAATGTCCTGGCCAGCCGTCAGCACAGTAGGCAGCTGAGCAGCGGTGAGCAGGTGAGGGCGGTCCTGCCCTTGTCTGGGCGCTCAGGGGCCCGTGTCCTCCCTCTGTGAGCCGGTCCCGCTCCGGTGGGGTGCTCTTGCCAGCCCGGGGGAGCTTCCCCCTTACAGAGTGAACAGAGTGAAGAGGAGACCCCAGATAGGAAAATGACTGTCACACAGGCTCTGTGCTCGTGAGCAGAACAGGAAGGAAGGGGCTGGACTTGCAGGGGTTAATGCCATGTGGGCTGGGGGCGCAGGATGGGGCAGGGGGCAGAAAGCTGCAGACACCTGTGTGTGTGTGTGTGTGTGTGAGAGAGAGAGAGAGAGAGAGAGAGAGAGAGAGAGAGAGAGAGAGAGAGAGAGAGAGAGAGAGAGAGAGATGGGGTCCCTGGGAAAAGAGGAGATGGAGGCAGGAGGAAGAGGAGCCGAGAGCAGGGCTTGTCCATCTGTCTGTCTGTCTGTCTGTCATCTGTCAGCCCGCTGGCCACAGGCCTCTCCTGGAGGAGCCACGCTGGACAGACAGGTGAAGCCTTTGGACCAGCTCAATCATCGTATTTATTCTAATTGTATCGTAATCGTCCCCAAGGAGTCTGGTTCAAATGAGCTTGACATTATTAAAATTTTAATGCCCAGTTTTCATAGCTGAATGAATATTTAAAGGGTATGTCCCAGCTTAAGTTATGATGATGAAGAAATTAATGGAATGTCTTGTTTAATGCATGGATATGTGTTGATGCAAAAAGTGGCAGAGATGGGGAGGGGACGGGGAGGCGGCGGCGAGGCGAGGGAAGCCCCCCACTACTGCTCTCTGGATGCGGAGCTGTACCACCCCCCTCTCCCCCCACCTCGAGGGCCAGGACCGGGGCTCCCCCCTGCCAGGCGAGGCCGGAAGCAGAAACAGTCAACAAGAGACAGAACCATGACTTCCCCGACTGTGACCTGGTGGTGGCAGAAGCTGCTCCTAGAGATGGTGCTGGGTCCCCAAGGCTGCTGGGGACAGACCCGGCACTGAAGCCATTGGGCCTCCACGGGGGATCCTCAGAAGGTCAATCAGCAGGAAGGGGGCTTTCGCAGAGTGATGGTGATGATGGATGAGTGGATTGCGCCTAAGCTGGAGGCCTCAGGCAGATGGTTACCAGCACCTGGGGGCCGCCACCAGCGAGATTTCATTTGCCTGATTCAATTTTCCACAGTAAATGGGACCCAGCACATCCGAAACAGCTCTAGACCCCCACCCGCACCCCTGGCTTCTCCCTTCTCTCTTCTACGTGGGGTGTCAGGAAGGACCCCCCGGTTAGGAGGCAGAGGCTGGTTCTGGGCTGTGGCTCCCTTGATAGGGCACAAGCTTGGCCTGTGTGACACCTGGCTTTCATCCCTGGCACTTTGTGGTCCCCACAGTGATCACTGTCACTGTCCTCTCATTGTTCATCGATTTGCTCGAGCGGGCCCAGTAATGTCTCCATTGTGACACTTGTTACTGTGTTTGGCATATCGAATACGTCACGGGGAGCTTGCCAGGCTCTGCCGTGTGGGCGAGATACTCTCAGTAGCTTGCTGGGCTCTCCGAGAGGGGTGTAGGAATCAAACCTGGGTTGGCAGAGTTGGCTGCGTGCAAGGCAAACGGCTGTGCTATTGCTCCAGCCCCCCCCCCCCCCAATGATAATAACAAAGACCAAGCAGAGGCTTGGGCAGGGTGCGAGGCAGACACGAATAGGTCTTGGGGGATGGAAGGGACTGGTTCATGCAGAACGGAGCAGTGCAAGGGGGTGTGGAAGAGGTCACGCTATTTGGCGCCCACCAAAGACCCTGGCCCCAAACTCTCATTGCCAGATAGACACTCTCCACTCTGCTTCCTCGCTGGCCACGCCCTCCCGTGGAATCCCTCGTGGAAGGGCCACTGACTATCTCGGTCACCACTTGCCCACACCTTCCCACCTGAATACCAGAGCCCTTGAGCTCAAGCTTTCACCCCACCTCCAGAAAGGCTGACTACCTGCTGGACCATTAGGCCCCGGAGGAGGCCACCAGAGGTGGGTCTGCCCAGTCCCAGAGGCTTGCAGACCACAGGGTGCTGCGGGTTTGAGGAAGTCTCGGAGAAAGGGATGTTGCAGAAGGAAGGATGGTGGGGAAAGGGGGTTCCACGAGGCATTGGGAGAGCAAGGAAGCGAGCCTGATTCCCTCTCGCAGCCCCTCCCCCACAGCCAGGGGCTCATACTTGTGCTCCCTTAGCCCACGCACTGGCGTCTGCGGGGGCCACCACCCTCTCCTGCCCCTTCCTTCTCTCTGAGCACAGTTGCCTGTAACACAGCATCCTCTGCTCCGAGAGCTTATGGCAAAGCACCTTCCGGTGCGTGGGGGGTGCAAGGCAAACAGCGGTACCCGGCTGGCCAGCCTCGGTGCAGGAGAAATCAGCACCCAAAGGTCACGGGTGCAGAGAAAGCCCGCGCCCGCATTGCCAGGCTCATCCTGGTGCCCCACCACCTCCTCCTCGGCGTCGGCGGTGTCTCCACCTGCAAAACGGGGCTGCAGCGGCTTGCCCTGCCGGCCCCTCGGGGTCTGCGTTAGCGAGACAAATGCAATTGCAGTAAAGGATAAGGCAGGTGCCTGCCAGGCAGCAGCCCCAGCCGAGACATAAAGAACGGTTCCTTGGTGGGCTTCCTGCCATTCTTATTGCTTGAAATATCGTGGGAGCTGGCGCGGGCGGGCTCCGCGGGCCTCGGAGGACCGAGGCGGGAGCGCGCGGCTCGGAGTGCAGAGACCCCTAGTGGCCGGAAGGGGGCACTGCCACGGGCCGGGCCAGGCAGTTCTCGGGAGCCCCCAGACCCAGCGGCCCACGCCCCTGAGATGCCCCGGGTGCACGACGTGGCCGGAGCCCAGCCCGCCTGGGCCAAGTGTCCTGGGCACCAGGACGAGCCAGAGGGGGTCCTGGGAACATCTGAGGCCCACGTGGCACAGTCTGACCACAGTCTGGAGGGTGCCAACCCCCCGGGGGTCTCCTGTTCCCCCCCCCCCCCGAAAGCCCCCAGAAATAGCAGGTCTCCGGGGACTGCAGGGGCGAGGGGAGGAGGAGGCATGTGTGGAGTGTGCGTGCTGGAACCCCTGCCTGCCCCCATCTTTCTGACTCCCCTCTCCTGTGCTCTCTTGCAGATGAACCGGCCTATCCAGGTGAAGCCAGCGGACAGCGAGAGCCGAGGAGGTAGTAGCTGCCTGCGCCAGCCCCCTTCACGTGAGGGCCCACTTGTCTCTGCCCCCGCGCCCCACCCCTCTCCCCAGCAGCGACCTGCCGGGGCTCTGGGGATAGCCACAGACTCCCCTCCCTGCCTCTCCTCTCCGCCCCTCTCCCCTCTTTTCCCCTTCTCTCCCCTCTTTTCCCCTTCTCTCCCCTCCCCTCCCCTCCCCTCCTCTCCTCTCTCCTCCTTTCCTCTTCTCCCCTCTCCTCCCCTCTGCTCCCCTCTCCTCCCCTCTCCTCTCCTCTCCTCACCTCTCCTCTCCTCTCCTCTCCTCTCCTCTCCTCTCCTCTGCTCTCCTTTCCCCTCCCTCTCCTCTCCTCCCCTCTCCCCTCTTTTCCCCTTCTCTCTTCTCCCCTCCCCTCCCCCTCCCCTCTCTCCTCCTCCCTCCTCTACCCACCTCTCCTCCTCTCCCCCCTCCTTTTCCCCTTCTCTCTCCCCTCCCCTCCTTTCCTTTCCCCTCCCCTCCTCTCCTCTCCCCTCTTTTTTCTCTCCCCTCCCCTCTTCTTCTCTCCTCTCCTCTCTCCCTCCCTTTCCTCTCTCCTCCCCTCCCTCTCCCCTCCCCTCCCCTCCCCTCTCTTCTCCCTCTCCTCTTCTCCTCTCTCTTGCTCTTCCTCTCTCTTGCTCTCCTCTCCTCTCCCCTCCCTCTTGCTCTCCTCTCTCTTCTCCCCTCCCCTCCTCTCCCCTCCTTTCCCCTCCTCCTTTCTTTCTCCCTCTTCCTCTCACTTTCCTCTCCTCCCCTCTCCTCTCCTCTGCCCTCCCCTCCCCACTCTTGCATTCAGGGTGACTGGGGTGGGGGAGGCAGGGAGATTGGGGTGTGCTGGATGTGGGGTTCGGTCTGTCCTGTGAGTAAGCCTAGTGCCTGTCTGTGTCACCTCAAAGAGAGCGCCCAGCCGTGTCATCGGGAAAACCCTGCCATGATGTGATGGGCCAGTTGCCGGGGAGGGTGGGGGGCACTGCCGGGGACGGTGCAGGCCAGCGGGGTCAGATCGGAGCCCCTACAGTGTAGAGGCCACCTGAGACCAAGGGGCTGGAGCGTGTCGGGGAGGGGGTGGGGAAGGGCCGCCCTCAGCCCACAAACATTGCATGGGGCCGCATTCAAGAGACACCCCCAGCCACACGAAAGCTCTCCCAAGGCCAGCTGTGGATCTCCTTGCCAATTACCCACCACTCTGGGACCTGACCTGACCCCCGGGCTGCCTCCTGGGCCCTCTGCCCCGGACGCTCACGCAGCCTGGCACTGGGAAATTTCTCTGCAGCCATAGCTCCCCCACCCACCCAACCACCATCCACCCACCCCGTTTTATCAGAAAATAAACCATGAAAGCAACTCTGACATACAGAGTCTCCTGTGGCTGAGACGATGATTCTGGGGCTGAAACACCAGCTTTGCATGCAGCAGCCCCGGGCTCAGTCCCCGCCACCGTTTGGTCCCCGAGCATCCCGGGAGGTACCCTGAGCACTGCAGTGTGACCAAGAAAACAAAACCAAAAAATGAGTCTCACCCCGAGGGGACTGTAGCGAGCCCACAGTGGCCACTCCAAGCTGGCCCCTGCCCGGTCCCAGCACGGCCCCACCCGGGAGTCCTCCCAACCCTGGCCTCAGAGCCCACCCACAGAACCCCCTCCCGAACCCCTTTCCAGAGCCTTCTCCATGCCCCTCCATGCCCCCTCATGCCCACCCCATGCCTCCCTCCAGAGCCTGCTCCCCGAGCACCGGGATGTAGGGATACTTCCCTCGGCCTCTCCGAGTATCTCAGTGGGGATGGCCAGGGGCAGGGAGAGGGTCACCCTGCTGGCCTGTCCCTTTCCAGCTTCCCTGAGCTTTTTCTGAACAACAAGGGTCTGCCCACCTGGGTGCTGGACTGCATTTGAGAGAGGTGAGGGGGCACTGGTCCTCCTCAGCCCACCTGGGGGCCCCTGAGAACACAGCCTGCCTCCCCCACACCCCTGCACACAGCAGAGCAGGGCCAAACGGTACAGGCTCAGAGCTCAGACACTGGATGATTCTATCCAAGAGGAGTCCTGAGGGAGCAGGCAGAGATTCCAAAGGGGCTGCAGCCACCCGAGCTGGCCTGGAGGGACGGGAACACGGAGCCAGGACCGGTGCGCCAGCCAGGGGCCAGGGGGTAGGGTTGCTAGGGAGTGTGAGTTTCCCAGGGCTCGGGTGGGGGGTCGGGCTCCCCGACCCAAGGCTGGCTGAGCTCTAGCGCATCCCCAAGGCCTCCGAGCCGTCCTGCCCCTCCTCGTGGCCAACCTCGTCGTCTTTCTCCCATACATCTCCTGCCTTGACACTTGCCCCAAACCAGATTAATCAGCTCTTTTATTCTTCCTGCGGTAGAGAAGGGGGGAGAGGCGAAGAGAGCAAAATCTGAGCATCTATCTATTAATTGCATATTCAATATTAAACACCGAGACCGCCCTGAGTCAGCACCACCGAGCTATTTAAAAAAAAAAAGAAAGAAAGAAAGAAAGAAAACAACAACAACCACCTTAATATCCAGCCAGGGAAGGCCCCCTCCGGGAGGAGAGAGACAGGAAGGCCAGGCGGGCAGGCGGGAATGGAGAGTTGGAGCCAGAGGAGGGGGGGCAGGAGGAGAGGCCGGTGGGCTGAGGGGGCCAGGCAGGAGATGGAGGTCACCTCTAGGAGGAGAGAAAAGGACAGGAAGCACCTGGATAGAGGAGGGTCACCCTGACCCGGTGGGCTCTGCCTTGCAGGGGCTGACCTGGGTATGATCTGCGGCACCCCGTATGGTCCCCCAGCACCACCGGGGTGGAGAGGGGATTCATGAGTACAGAGCCAGGAGTCGTCCCAGAGGCCAAGTGGGGCCCAACAACTCTTGTCCCTGCCCCAACGCAACAATGAGGAGGGTCCGCCTCCATTCTCATCCAGCTTCTAGAAATTTCACTCCCAAGTTATACACATGCCAAAGACCCTGAGGACAGGGGACACCAGTACCCTTAGGTGTTTTGCCCAGCCCAGAGACACCTGCTGTCTATTCGGGATCGGGGCGCACGGGGTGGGCAGACAGGAAGCAGGAGGAAAGTTTCTCCCCTGCCTCTCCCCCATGAGGGGTGGACATGCAGAGTCTCCTGGGGTTTCCAGAAGCCCCCATCCACCCTCCCAGGGGGTGTCCGTGGAGGGTCATGCAGGGGCATGCTGGCAGGGGACGGGGCAGGACCAGGCCCTGCCCACCTCACCCTTCCACCCAGTCAGGCTCCAGCAAGCAAACCAGCTGTGGGCCCTGGGAGTAGCCGGAAGGAGTCCAGCTGACCGCTGCTCCTAGAGGTGCCCTGGAGGACACTGGGTTGGGGGCAGTAAACCCGAAGGCCTGAGGTCAGCCTGCAGGGGTAGGGGTGCCTGAGAGGCAGGGAAGGAACTGAGACTTGTGTCTGCTCATCCTGGCTCCCCACCCTCCACCAGACTCCTTGACAGACTCAGCCGCCCCCTGGTGAGGGGGGGTCCTGTCATCACCCCCCGTCCCCCCGAGAGTTTCTCTCCATCAGAAACACCCTGGGGGGCAGAGCAATAGTACAGCAGGTAGGGCATTCGCCTTGCACATGACTGCCAAGGGTTCGATCCCAGGCATCCTATATGGTCCCCCAAGCACTGCCAGAAGTAATTCCTGAGTGCAGAGCCAGGAGCAACCCTTGAGCATCGCCAGGTGTAACTCCCCCCCTACCAAATCATAGAAGCCCACCTTCCTGCCTATGTGGAGATTGAGCTGAGGTGACCTCACCCATGCTGTGTGCCGACGCATCCCAAATGCAATCACACGTGTTCCTGCCCCAACACTCTCGCCACACGCCACAGCCCCGAGACGCACTCTCGGCTTCATGCTTGAGCCCAGAAGGTGGTGGAAGAGAGGCAGAGAGGCCCTGCCCCTCCTCCCACCCCCAACCCTGGGAGCATGGGGCGCTGAGCTGCATCCGGCTACATTTCATCACCAGGAAGCGACAGGAGAGCCCCTGCAAGGTGGCAGACCGCCTTGCTGGAAAAGCCAGAACCCCAGAGAGCTTTAAGAGGGGCCTGGAAAAGGGGCTTTGGGTGGGAGAACACTGCTGGGACATAAGAGAGGTGCACGGTCTTTCCTCAGGATCCTCATGCACCCCAGGGCCTGGGAGTGCAGACCAGGTCCAGCAGACCTCCCCCCAACCCCCAGACCCCGGTTGGGGTGCTCTTGATGCCGTGGCCTCAAACTGGGGTGTGTAAGGCTGAGATGGGGAGAGTCACAGCCCCAGTTGGGCGCCTCAGTAGCCAGTCCCTTCCTGCCCACCCAGGGCCATGGTCCTGAGTGCTTGCTCCTGAGTGCTCATCAGGCCGGCTGTGAGGCTGCTCAGGGACCTGGGGGGGATGGCCCCTGCGCCCCAACCCTGCTGCTCTCCTGCACTTCCTCAACCACAGCAGGATCTGGGGGGAGTGCAGAGGGGTAAGGGGAGCAGCCTCAGGGAAGTAGCTCCAGGGAGCTCCTACCTGGACATGCCCTGGGAAGCTTCTAGAAGGTGACGGGGCATCTTTGTGAGTGCCCCTGTGACCTCTCAGCCTTCCCAAGTCGTTTCTCAGTACCTGGAACTAAAACTCGACAGAGCTAGTTCCATCACCCCCAGTTTCCAGGCCCGGGGGGCTCCACGTTTGCCCCTCCACCAGCTCACATCCCTCCCCATGGTCTCAGGGGATCCAGGAAAGCCAGAGGGGCGTGTGTGTGTGCATGCACATGTGTGTGCATATGGTACATGTGTGTATGTGCATCTGTATGTGCATGAGTGTATATGTGCATAAGTGTGCATGTGTCTGCCTCTGTGTGTGTGTGTGTGCATGTGTGTTCGTGTGCAACAGTGAGTCACTTCGTTCCTACTCGGTCCCGAGGCAGATGCTGGCCCATCCATCCGCTCAGCCCCGCATTCCCGCAGCCCTTCTCTGCTCCCCGAGTTCATTTACCGGCATCTTCAGGGCGCCCGGCCCTGGCTGCGGCCAGCGCGGGTGTGGTGTGCCCGTGGTA